TGAAACAGATTTGGAGATCACAGTTTCTATTTTGGACGCCCTGAGTTTGAGGTGCTTTGAGACATACAAGTGGGAATGTTTATGATTTGAAGGCAATGACTACTTGAAGGTTTCCCAGCATGCCCTGTTAATTTTCCCAGAGACAGTGCAATGAGAGCACCTATTTAAGAGAGATGTAGCCCTGGTGGCACAATAATTAAGCACTCGGCTAACCAAAAGGTAGGCGGTGTGAACTCACCCAGTGGCTCCGTGGGAGAAAAGACCTGACACTCTGCTCCCGTAAAGATTACAGCCTTGGAAACCCTATGGGGCAGTTCTACTTGTCCTAGAGGATCTCTATGAGTCGGAATCGACTTGATAGCACACAACAACATCCTTACAAAAGGCAGAAGCTTTTTCTTAGGCATATCTGAAACAGTTATCATTATCATTAAGATCCTGATTTTGAGAAAGAATATCAATATTGATTTACAAACCATGAAATGTTTTGGCATAGAGGCAATTAATTAGTTCATGGAACAAATTTAGCACAACTGTGTCCATTTTGGACAAGGTACAAACATCTTTTCAAATGAATATGAAAATCTTTATATAGGGAGCATTCATTTCAGAGCACTGCCACTTCTACAGGTGCTCAACCTTTCTCCGGTCAGGCACACTGAGGTAACTGGAGTAGCTGCTCTCTACAGGAGGCAACCAGGAGGGGCTCCAGCCTTTGGCTGCCCTGAGGGCGGAGGGGAACAGCCTGGAGAGCACATTTGTAACTCATTCCCACTTACCCAGGTGCCCTTGCGTGCGTGTTGGGAAGCTCTGCCCTTGCCACCAATTCTTCTTAAATTGTAATGTGCATACAACCCCCCTATGGATCTTGTTAAAGTCTAGATTCTGGTTCCATAAGCCTGGAGTAGGGTCTGAGAGTTTGCATTTCTGACAAGTCCCCAGGTGATGCCATGGCTGCTGGTCTGGGGACCACAAGGCTAGACAATGGGCTCCAAGTTCCAGGAGCCAAAGTTTAATTAATGCTATTACTAGGATATCTTAAGGTGAAAGCTCATTTTCCTCTGTTCATGGTACAGGCTTGAGTAGTTATATCTGAGTGGTTGACTTTCTGACTTGATAAATGAATAGTGTGAGGCAAGCAATTTGGTACTGGTGTCTTACAACTTTTTGGATAGTTGTAAAAATAAGTGGTATCTAAATGTATGAGTCAGACTCCAAAGGCAAAGGAACAGGAGACAGCTCAAATTGTCTTTGGCAGCAGTCAGCACAAGAAATAGCTTCAGATAACGAAGAAATAATCTTGGGGGAAATAGGTTGTGGGTTGATAGAGGTACTTGAAGGAGCAAGTTGAATAGGATCACTATCATTCTTAAAATAGTTGGAGCCATAGTATCTAGCATGAGGATAAGGGTGAGAATGCAGAATTTTACTGACAAAAATACCCTTCCTCATTCTAACAGAGTGATTGGGAAGGGACAGTGTCTCAAGAACCAATTGTTCCAAGCTGATGATTCTGGAGTGAGATAAGTAATGCTTTTAATATCCTGCTAGATTTTAAGGGTTCATTTTGGAATGAGATGGAATGGACCGTGATGGCTAGGGAAATTGAGAACAAAGTTTCAAAGCCTTCCTGACATATGATTTGGACTTTTAAAAGGTGTGTTGTCTGACAGTGACTGAAAACATTTTTATAAGCTTTCCCTGAAATTCTACAAATGCTGGGAAGTCCCTTATTGATTTAAAAATATTGGACATTGTCCAAATCCTCATAGCTACAGTTTTTTCCCCCTAGTTTAATACCAGTTTCAGTCTGTGGAATCACATGGGCAATAGAAAAGAGAAGGTTGAAATTTTATTTTGCAGAATTTAACTTCAGTTTGAATGCTATACCCAGTTACCATCAAGTTGACTCTGACTTATGGCAACCCCATATGTTGCAGAGTAGAACGGCACTCCATAGAGTTTTCAAAGGCTGTGGCCTTTTGGAAGTAGATGGCCAGGCCTTTCTTCCAAGGCACTGTTGGGTGGGTTTGAATCACCAACCTCTCAGTTAGCAGTTGAGTGCTTAGCCATTTGTGCCACCCAGGGACTCCTTAAAGGTTATGTTTACGTGTACCATCAAGTCAATTAGAACTCATAGCCACATTACAGGACAGAGTAGAACTGCCCCATAGGGTTTCCTAGGCTATAATCTTTACAGGAGCAGATCACCAGGTTTTTTCTCTCGAGGAGCAGCTGGTGGCTTCAAACTGCTGACCTTTCAGTTAGCAGTCGAGCGCTTACTCATTGCACCACCAGGGTTCCTTCTTGAAGGCAATAACCAGCATAAAACTTTAAGTAAGATTTCCAGGTTAAAATGGCATATGAAAGCATCATTAATCAACTTCTTATTAAATTCCAGAAAAAAGGAACAATATTAAGCAATTTTAAGGTGTTATGCATTCCCGTATATACATGGGCTTGGAAAATATACCACTTACATATTATTCTTAAAAAATTATTTGAAGACCTATTCAGTTGACTAAGAGATGAATCAGAATTAAAAATTTACAACTAAAAAAAACCATATAAAATGAGCATAATATGTATCTAAATAATTGTAAATAAGATTATTAACAGAAAGCAAATGTCCAAACAGATGGGATGATGGAAATAGTTTCCATCTTATTTGTAAGTTACATGAGCATAATACATTTTCAAAACTGAACACTTAAGACCTGCATACTTTATTGTATATAAATTATACCTCAATGAAAAAATTAAATTACAGACAGGATTTACAGCAATCAGGAAACTTGCCCTGGTAAAAAAGATAAAAGATGAGGGTAAACCCAGTGGAAGTCTAGCAACTCTGCATGATATCAAAAAGGTTAATTGGGAACAGAATATAAAACCACTAGTTTATTCATACTGTTATTTTGTAAGGAATTATACCACCAGTGAGTCCCCTTGATAACTCACATTTGGCAATCTACATTTACTAGCAATATGACAGTGTGTCAATAATATGTAAGAAAATGAATATAAAGTTTAGAATACTTCTAATAACCTTGAGAGGAAGAAAGTTACCAGAAGTCAAAAGACCATTAAAAGAAAATGGGAATGTCATGGATTGAATTACGTCTCCCCAAAAATGTGTGTCTCAGTTTGGCTGGGCCATGAATCCCAGTATTGTGTGGTTGTCCTCCATTTTGTGATTGTAATTTTATGTTAAAGAGGATTAGAGTGTGATTGTAACACTCTTACCAAGTTCATGTCCCTGATCCAATGTAAAGGGAGTTTTCCTGGGGTGTGGCCTGCACCACATTTTATCTTACAAGAGATAAAAGAAAAGGGAAGGAAGCAGAGAGTGGGGGACCTCATACCACCAAGAAAGCAGTGCCAGGAGCAGAGCACGTCCTTTGTACCTGGGGTTCCCTGTGTGGAGAAGCTCCTAGTCAGGAGGAAGATTGATGAGAAGGCCGACAGAGAGAGAAAGGCTTCCCCTGGAGCTGACGTCCTGGATTTGGACTTTTAGCCTACTTTACTGTGAGGAAATAAACTTCTCTTTGTTAAAGCCATCTACTTGTGGTATTTCTGTTATAGCAGCAGTAGATGACTAAGACAGGGAGGGTTAAAGAAATAAAAGCAGACTTTAGAGTTAGTTAAAGAAGGGAAACTGACTCTCAGGGATGAACAAAAGCTGGGAATCAAACGAAAACGCAATTATAGAAACACGAATTGACTATAGCTCTAGAAGAAGAGAGTGGAGGCAGGCCAGGTAGAACATTCCTTAGGGATATGTCAAGACCACATGGTTTTATATTGATTCCTGGGATTCGGGAATATTTCCGTAATCCTCCTTGTTGTTCAAGTTCAGAGACATGGGAGTCATCCTTGACACTTGCCTCTCCTTGCATCCCATAACCAATCATTATCAACTCTTATCCATTCTATCTCAAAAATTCATCTTAAAACAATCCACCTCTCCCCATCACCCTCATTCAAACTGCCATCATCTCTCACCTGCATTTAAATTATCTCCTTTCTTCATATCTTGTTCTCTTCTAAACTCTCTCCAATTCATTCTCCACACAGTGGAGTAATCTTTGTAAATGTAAATTGGGTCACAACACTTTCCTGATTATACCTTTGATGCCCTCTCATTACACTTGAAGTCCACAATCTTAAACTTGGCCTATTGCTGTTATCAGCTGCCCTAAATGATCTGGTACTCGCCTGCCTTTTCCGATGTGAACTCTAGGAGGCAAAGAAACGCCTCTGTCTTATTCACCAAATCCTATGGGGCAGTTCTACTCTGTCCTATAGGGTCACTATGAGTCGGAATTGACTTGATGGCAATGGGTTTGGTTTTTGGGTTTTTATATCAGTAGCTAGTCATTTGGCATATCATAAGTGCTCAGTATAGGTTTACTGAATAAATGAATGAATGTGTGAATGCTAGTTTCTTTTATCAGGAACCAAAAAGTGCTAGTACTTGTTTCTTGAGGGGAATTGTCTTGCCAGGAAATCAGAGCCTTCTTCGGACCAAATCATGGGATATGTTAATAAAAATACATACCATTTCCCACTGTAAATGAAAAGAGAATGTTGTGCAATACACAGAGTGTGAAGTATGTAAGCAAAGAGGGGAAAGAAATTATAGAAGAAAGTGGGTTTGGGGTATGGGCAAGGGAGAGAGAGAGTTCATACGAAAATTAAATCATAGGAGAGGGAAGGTAGGAAAAATGGAAAACACACACACTCTGTCTTTAACTCTCTAGTTCTCTGTTTGAATTTCTCTTTTATCTCTAGCTTTCTGAGCATGCACACGCATGCACACACACTTCTACATCTCTGTCTCTTTCTAGTGCTCTCATTCTCCATTTGGATTTCTCTTTCATTTCAATCTCTCTGTTTCTCTTGCTTTTTCTATTTGAACTCTAAGGATAATTCTTGACTCAGAAAAACAAACTGTCTGTGGACACCCTCAGCCAGAAAGCAGACCCCAGTTCTTCTACCTGTTTCCCTCAAGGTCACACATGTGGTTCACTACTGGAGACCAGTCAAAGGCCCCTGGCTCCTTCTTCAGCCACCTCTCCAGCTCCTGCAGGTTCCTGTCCTTGTAGTCACTGGTGATGATCTCCTTGAAGGACTCACAAGCAGAAAGGAGCTGATAGATGGTGGGGCCAGAGTCAGTGTCAATCAGGAGGTCTCCCTTCATGCCACCTGGTTCAGAGGAAAGAAGAGGAAGAGGGGTCAGGCGTTTTATAGCAGAGGACTGAGCTGAATTTACATGGTCTTCCCTGGGATTACGCTGGAGATCCCGAAGACAGACCACCTCTCTACTCACTCCTCCTCACCCAAAGTCTTTTTTAAAAAGGCTCTTTATTTTCCATTCCCCACTCCAGAGTGGAGGCATGTTGCTATGATATTTTAAGACTCTAAGAGAAAAGGCAAAAAAAAAAAAAAAAGATCTACATCTGGCATACAAATCCTTGGCCCAGAAAGCCTGCTAAATGGAGGATGTTAAAACTATTAAACAATATTTTTGGGGAAATTTAATTTTTTTTAATGACTTTATTGAATGTCTTTCTCTAAAAAGTACCCAGGTCTTTACATACTAAATCCGTTGCCGTCTAGTGGATTCCGACTCATAGCGACCCTATAAGATAGAGTAGAACTGCCCCATGGGGTTTCCAAGGAGCATCTGGTGGATTTGAACTGCCAACATTTTGGGCAGCAGCCATAGCTCTTAACCACTACGCCACCAGGGTTTCCCTTTACATACGGGGAGGTCTTTATCTCATATGTATTCACAATATTCCTTTGTATTAGGAACACAATAAGTATTAGGATCTCCATTTCGTAAGTGGCCCATTGAGGCTGAATGACTTGTTCTAGTCACCTAGCAAATCAGTGTAGAATCAGGGCCAGAACTCAGGCCCTCTGGTTTCCCTTTGCCATGATCAAATGAGAAAATGTCTACAAAAGCACTTTGTAAACTATAAAATATCTACACAAATGTCAGTTTTTATTCTAGTTAAATAAATGGGGGATTCCAAAGGGCTCATCAAACAATGATGACTGGCTGGACACAAAAGTTGAGACTCCATCTATAGGACTCACATCCTAGGGGGAGACGCACAGACAATAGACAGACTTACGAAGGCAGAATATCTGGAAAAGATTTTCCAGAAGATACTTAACAATCTGGTTTTCTGCAGAGTGTCTGGACCCAAAGTTGTAATATTTTTCTAGGTAAGCCTGAGCGTTAAAATGGCTCAGATATGTGTCCTTGGTAGTGAAGCCAAATTCCATTGTGTCTCACTCGTGTGCCTCAGGTCCACGGCCCTCCTGCCCTCTCCTTCAGAAGTCTCAGGCCGTCAGTCTACCCATAATTCAGTCCTCCTCCTTAGAGACAGATGTTTGGTTAAACACTAACTGAGGGAAATCTACCAAAAGATGTTCTGGCTCTTTTAGGTTATGAAATTCCTAAGTTATGAAATTCCCAAGTTATGAAATTTCAGGAGAAGGGAGCTGAGGAGGAGGGGAGAGTGTCTGTATGCAATGCTTGACCAAGGGGTCAAGGTCAGCTGCAAGATATTGCTGACAGGAAGGGACCACCTGGGCTATTTAACTCATAGGAGAACCCTTCGGTTGAGAGAGATGGTCATCTCCCAAGAGAACCATCATTCTTCTCCTTCTTGCAATGCTTCTTCCAGGAAACAGAGTCAAAAGGAATGGTTTAAATGTGAAAACATAAAGAAAGAAAAGAAAAGAGGAGACTGATAAGGATAGGAGATGGGCTCAGGGCTGAGGAATGTTGGCTAAAGAGAGAGTCTCAAACGAAGTCTTGAAAGAGGCAGGGTGAGAACAAATTTTTAAAAACTGGGAGAGCTTTCTCTAAAGTTGAGGCCAGCCACAATCCTTTAATCCCTCTCCCCACACTCTACACCCACTCCATTCCTCCCCACACCATACCTCTGTAGCTTTACCCACCACCTGCCATTTTTCAGCATCTGGCAAGCACCCTAACCCTCCCCACTCTTTTTTTTTTTTTTTTTTTTGATGTGATCAAAACCAAATTTCTTTATTTTTTGCCAATTTAAAAATTATAAAAGTAACACAGTAGTCTCCTAGTAAAAATTCAGTAATAACACATTAGAGAGTCTCAGTTTACTCATCCTACTCTACTCATCTACTCATCATTCTTGGAATGGGAATTTGTGTCTTCTCTCTTTTTTCTTGATCAGTCTGGCATGAATTTTATCAAATTCTTTCTTTATTTGAAAAAGATTTCTTTTTATATTTTTAAAGAACCAGGTTCTGGTTTCATTGTTTTTCTCTATTATTTTTCTGATTTCAACTTCATTTGTTTTTGTCCTTATCTTTATTCTGTCTGCTTGCATTAGGCTTAATTTATTTACTTTTCTAAATTTTTAAGGTGAAGGCTTTATTGGTTTAGTACTTTTCTTGTTTTCTAACATAAACATTTAATGCTATAAATTTCCCTCCAAGCACTGCATTAGCTGCACCCCAAATTTTGATATGTTGTGTTTTATTTTCATTCAATTAAAAATATTTTCTAATTTCCCTTGCAACTTCCTCTTTGACACTTGGGTTATTTAGAATTGTGTTGCTTAATTTCCAAATATTTGGAGACTTCCTGAATATCTTTGTAGTTTAATTTCATTGTGGTCAGAGAACCTACTATGTATGATTTTGATTCTTTTAAATTTGTTAGGCTTTGTCTTATGGGGCAGAGTATGGTCTATATATATATATATTTTTTTTTTTTTTTTGGCTGCAATCTTTTGTGTGTGTGTTCTTTAGGTGAAACTTTACAGAGCAAATTAGTTTTTCATTTAATGATTTATACACAAATTGTTTTGTGACATTGGTTACAATCCTCATGATGTGTCAACAGTCTCCCCTTCCACACCCCAATTCCCAGTTTCCATCCGTCCATCATTCCTGTCCTTTCCTGCCTTCCTGTCATTGCTTTTGGCCACATATTGCCCTTTTGCTCTCATATACATGACTGATCTAAGAAGCATGTTCCTCACATGTGTTATTGTTTGTTTTGTAGATCTGTCTAATCTTTGGCTGAAGGGTGAACTTTGGGAGTGGCTTCAGTTCTGAGTTAAATGGGTATCCAAGGGCCATAGTCTTGAGGGTTCTTCCAGACTCTGTTAGGTCAGTAAGTCTGGTTTTTTTTTTTTTTTTTGTGATTTTGAATTTTGTCTTCTATTTTTAATCTCACTCTGTCCAGTACCCTCTGTTGTGAGCCCTGTCAGTGCGATTGGTGGCAATAGCCAGGCACCACCTAGTTCTTCTGGGCTCAGGCTGGTGGAGGCTGTGGTACTTGTGGTTCATTAGTCCATTGGACTAATATTTCCCTTGTGTCTTTTGTTTTCTTCATTCTCCTTTGCTCTGGACAAGATGGGATCAGTAGATATATCTTAGATGGCCACTTGCAAGCTATTAAGACCCCAGACACTACTCACCAAGGTTGGATGTAGAACATTTTCTTTATGAACTATGCCAATTGACCTAGGTGACCCCCATGACCATGGTCCCCAGACCTCTGTCCCAGTAACTCAGTCCCTCAGGGTGTTTGCATGTGTCTATGATGCTTCTATGACTTTGCTTTGGTCAAGTTGTGCTGACTTCTCCTATATTGTGCACTCTCTTTCCCTTCATCAGAGTTAACACTCATCTGCTATCTAGTTAATGGCGTCTCCTACCCAACCCTCCCCTTCTTCATAGCCATCAAAGATTGTTTCTTTCTGTGTGTAAAGTTTTTCTTGAGTTTTTATACACTCTATACACTTTATACACTCTCATACACTATTTGTCCTTTTGTGACTGACTTATTTTGCTCCGCATAATGCCCTCCAGATTCATCCATGTTGATAGACATTTTGTGGATTCATCATTGTTCTTTATCGATGCATAGTATTCCACTGTGTGTATGTACCATAATTTGTTTATCCATTCATCTGATAGGCACTTACGTTGTTTCCATCTTTTTGCTATTGTGAACAATGCTGCCATGAACATAGGTGTGCATATGTCTATTCGAGTGACGACACTTATTTCTCTAGGATATATTCCTAGGAGTGGGATTGCCGGATTGGATGGTATTCCTATTTCTAGCTTTCTAAGGAAGCATCATGTCATTTTCCAAAATAGTTGTATCATTTTGCATTCCCACCAGCAGTGCACAAGAGTTCCAATCTCCCTGCAGCCCTTCCATCATTTGTTATTTCCAGTGTTTTTGATTCGTGCCAGTAATGCTGGGGTGAGATGGTATCTCATTGTGGTTTTAATTTGCATTTCTCTAATGGCTAGTGAATGCAAGCATTTCCTCATGTGTCTGTTGGCTGCTTGAATGTCTTCTTTGGTGAAGTATCTGTTCATTCCCTTTGCCCATTTTTTAATAGGATTATTTGTCTTTTTGTTGTAGAGGTGTTGGATTTTCTCGTAGATTATGGAGATTAGACCTTTGTCTGACTTGTACTGTCCAAAAATTTTTTCTCAGTCTGCAGATTCTCTTTTTACTCTTTTGGTGAAGTCTTTTGAAGAGTATTGTTGTTTGATTTTTAGAAGATCCCAGTTATCTAGCTTATCTTCGGGGGTTTGTGTGTTGATGGTTATGGTTTGTATCCTGTTAATGACATATATTAGGGCCTGTAGCATTGGTCCTATTTTTTCTTCTATGAACTTTATAGTTTTTGGCTTTATATTTAGGTCTTTGATCCATTTAAAATTAGGTTTTGTATACGGTGTGAGGTATGGGTCCTGTTTCATTTTTTTGCAGTGGATATCCAGTTTTGCCAGCACCATTTGTTAAAAAGACTGTCTCTTCCCCCATTTGATGGACTTTGGGCCCTTGTCAAAGATCGGGTGACCGTAGGTGGATGAATTTATATCTGGGTTCTCAGTTCTGTTCCATTGGTCAATGTATCAGTTGTTGTATCGGTACCAGGCTGTTTTGACTACCATAGCTGTATAGTAGGTTCCGAGGTCAGGTAATGTGAGTCCTCCAACTTTATTCTTCTTCTTCAGTGGTGCTTTACTTATTCAGGGCTTCTTCTTCCCTGTCCATATAAAGTTAATGATTAGTTTTCCATCTCTGAAGAATGTTGTTGGTATTTGGATCGGGATTGCATTGTATTTGTAAATTTCTTTGGGTAGAATTGTCATTTTCACAATGTTGACTCTACCTATCCAGGAGCATAGTGTGTGTTTCCATTTATGTAGATCCCTTTGGGTTTCTTGCAGTAGCGTTTTGTAGTATTCTTTGTGTAGGTCTTTTACATCTCTGGTTAGATTTATTCGTAAGTATTTTATTTTTTTAGGGACTATTATAAATGGTATTGTTTTCCTGATTTCCTTTTCCTCATTTATTGGTGTATAGGAATCCAACTGATTTTTGAATGTTTAGCTTGTATCCTGCTACTCTGCTGAATCTTTCTATTAGTTCCAGTAGATTTCTTGTGGCATCCTTAGGGTTTTCTACGTATAGTATCATATCATCTGCAAACAGGGAGAGTTTAACTTCTTCATTACCAATTTGGATACCCTTTATTTCTTTTTCTGGCCTTATTGCTCTAGCTAGAACTTCCAGATAGGAGTGGTGACAAAGGGCATCCATGTCTTGTTCCTGTTCTCAATGGGAATGTTTTCAGCCTCTCTCCATCAAGAATGATGTTGGCCGTTGGTTTTGCATAGATGCCCTTTATTATGTTGAGAAATTTCCCTTC